CACCCCCACCTCCCCCAAGACTTCACTGTTGTGGTCTGTCCTAGTAATGCTGGTTGCAGAGTCTGAAAACTCAGCCATCTGCCAGGCCCTTGCCAGAAGGGTTTACCCCTTTCCAGGGCCAGGATGGAAGCTTCCAGTCACATCCTGGAGAAATGTGTGTCTATAGTGCCCCCTGCAGACAGAGGCTGAAGCCACAGGTTCTGGGAGAGACCCTGCTCCATTTTTCCCCAGCACACAATTAGAAGTAGGCAAAATGTAGGGAAAAAGGTTGAAAGACACTGAAAATAGTAAATGTGAAAAGTTTTTTCCAGATAGAGTTCTCAATGTTCATTTAGTCCTTAAACTGTCCCCATAAGGTGATGTATTACAGCACCCCAAAGAACTGAAAATAGGGACTCTGAGCCTTGTGACGTGATGACAATGTTCACTGCAGCATTACTGATAATAGCCAAAAGGTGGAACCAACTGAATGTCCATCAACAGATGAATACACAATATGTGGTACATACACACAACATTCAGCCACATGAGGTTCTAACACATGCTACAACATGAGTCTTTAAAATGTTGTGGGCCTCACTTATGAAATAAGCCACTAACCCCTATTTTTTAAAGAAAAGAGACCCAGAGAGCCATGAGTTATCACCAAAAGTCAGATGGCTGCCAGGATTCCAACTCAAGAATATTATTTCTATGGTGTGTGACCTCAAGTGAGTGACTAGACTTCCCCAAGCAGCAGGGTTCCAATGTATAAACTTCAACAATAACGAACGGGTTATGGTTTGGATCTAAAATGTCCCCCGTAAGGCTCATGTACAATATTAGAGGCTTGGTCTCCAATGCAACTGTTACAGATGGAGCTTTCCGAAGGTGGTTGGATCAGGCTCTCCCTTCCTCAGTGGATTGGTCCATGGGTGGGGTCACAGCTGGATGGTATTACTGGAAGACCAGGTGTGGTGGCATACACCTGTAATCCCGGCACTCAGGAGGCCAAGGCAGGACTGTTGCAAGTTCGAGACCAGCCTGGGCTACAAAGTGAGCTCAAGGCCAGCTTGAACTGCATAGCGAGACCCTGTGTCAAAAACAAAAAAAAATTAAAAATTAAAAAAAGAAAAAAAGGAATTTAGGAGATGAAGCCAGGAGGAAGCAGGTCACTGGCCACACAGTTTAGCTTGGTATAGTGGCACATGCCGGTAATCCCAGCACTCTGGGAGGCTGACGCAGGAAGACTGCAAGCTCTAGCCCAGCTTGGGCAACTTTGCTCAGAATTTAAACATTTACAAAGGGGTGGGGGTGTTGCTCCCTGTGAAGGGTTATGTGTGTGTGTGTGTGTGCGCGCGCACGCGCACTGGAGACTGAATTCAGGGTCTTCACACTGAGTAGCATCCCCATCCCTTATTCTTTTACTGTGAAACATGGTCTTGCGGTTTCTCTCTCTGAAACCATGAGTCGAGATAAGAGTTCGGTGTGGGTTCATTGTGATAGTTAACAGGCACACGGCATCCAGTGAACACATTTACCCTCCTGTTTCCCCAACAGACTTCCTCTGCCTGACTGTGGCAGGAAGATGTGTTTACTCACTAGAGAGTTGTGTCCCTACTACACACCAGGCACTTCAGACATGACTTTACTAAATCTCACACTCAATGTAGGCATCGTGATGAACCTCATTTGACAGCAAGGAAACCCAGGCTTATGGAGATGCAGGAATTTGCCCAAGATCCCTCAGACAAGAGGACAAAGAGGTAGGATGGGACTAAAGCATCCAGTGTTTGGTGAGACTGAAGCTGGGGAAACGGGCTGCAAAGGGTGTGAGACCTGGCCTTCCCAGAGCTCAAGGAAGCCAATTTGTCAAAGCCAAGGAATCACGGTGGCTGGGAACTCTCCAGGGGGTTCTCTACTCCTGGCTGGCAAGTATGGGCCACCTCTGCTGTCAGTGACCCCTCAACAGTTAAGTCCAGCAAAGTCTGTAAACCAGCCAGGTATGATGCTACTCATCTATAATCCTGGCACTCTGGGAAGCTGAGGCAGGAGGTCCCCAAGTTTGAGCCCAACTCAAACTTAACAATTTTGGGTAACTTAACAATTTAGCAAGACTGTGCTTTAAAATTAGAAAATAAGGGATGGGGATGTTGCTCAGTGTGAAGATCCAGGGTTCAATCTCTAGTACACACACAAAAGGATATAAACCCTGAAAAGGTAGAAATCAACTTCCTATACCCATCAGACTTCCTTTAAGTAGTATGTTGCTATTAAGCTAAGGGTCAAAGCAGGCTGGCTCTGCTCTGCCACTTTCTGGCTGTATAACCTCAGACAAGTTTTGCTTTACTTTTTTTGTTTTTTTTCTTTGGTACCGGAAGTCGAACTCACGACCTCGCATTTCCCAGGCAGGTGCTGTGTTACTGAGCTAAACAAGTTTTGCTTTACTGAGCCTTTGTTCCTTCGACTCACATATAAACCTAATAATATAATCAGCTTCAGGGTTGGTGGAAACAGAAAAAATAGTAGTTTGTAGCATGAAAGAACACATAAACTGGGCACAGCAGCACACACCTGTAATCGCAGCCTTCGGAAGGCTGAGGCAGGAGGATCGAGTTCGAGACCAACCTGGGCTACAAAATGAGCTCAAGGCCAGCCTGAACTGCAGAGCAAGACCCTCTCAAAGACAAAAACAAAACAAAAAACCCCTACGTTAACAAGGGTTCAATAAATCTTAGCCATTGTTAGTTAGTACTGTAACTAGAGGTAGTTGCATTTAAAGTAGGAATGTAAGGGCTGGGAATTTAGCTCAGTGGCACAGTGCCTGCCTGGCAAGTGCGAGGTCATGAGTTTGATTCCTGGTGCTGAAGGAAAAAAAAAAAAAAAAAAACCAAGGGATGTAGCTCAGGGGCAGAGCACTTATCAAGCATACATTAGGTCCTGAGTTTTATTCCCAGCACCACAAAAAATAGGGGAAGTAGCTCCTAAAGTGTGCAGACTACAGGCCCAGGGTTGCTGGAGCACTGAAAAGCACCTGACCTACCTATAGGGGCAAATGCTACTTTGTGCCAACACATTATTTCCCAGCAAGAAGACAGGTCCACCACAGCCGGCACTCGTTTTTATTCCTTTTTTTAAGTCAGGGTCCGACTATGTAGTTCACATCAGCCTCAAACTCTTGCCTCAGCCTCTCAGCCCTGGAATCACAGGTATTAATATCCCTGCTTGGCAGGGATATTCTAAATGTTCTGGGCCAGGGATAGCTCAGTGACAGAGCGCGTGCCTGGGAAGCATAAGGTTGAGTCAACTCCCAGTTCCAAAAAACCAAAACCACCCACCTTTTTGTCTTTGTGCAGATGTTTGTAGTCCTGGCAATTTTTTTTTTCTTTTTCGAGACAGGGTCTCACTATGCAGCCCAGGCTGGTCTCAAACTCACAACGATCCTCCTGCCTCAGCCTCCCAGAGTAGTGAGATTACAGGCATGCACCACCACACCCCGCCCCAGTCCTGGCGATTTTTTTGGGTACCAGCAATCGAACTCAGGACCTTGCGCTTGCCAGGTAGGCACTGGTGCCAATGAGCTATATCCCCAGCCTGGTCCAGTTCTGGCAATTAAAACTAGGGCTGCATGCATGACAGAGGTGCTTTACCACAGCTATATGCCAGCCTTTCCCTTCTCATTATTCCCCAAGCAATACCAAATTTGTATTAGGTTTAAGTATTATAATCTAGAGATAGGTTCCAAAAGTGCTACAAGATACCCTCAAGCTTCCTGCTATGCAAATCTCAAAAAGGAAGCCTGACTTGCCTCGTGCAAGACAGAACGTTATTACCTAACCCCTAAACCTCAAGGGTAAGAGTAAATACCAAGTCATATTACATATCAAAGTATCTTTTTCTCAAAGGTAAAATTCTAATCTATTCAAAATTATCACTTGAGTTGGAGCAATAAGCAAACCTGAACTATTAGTAATTGTTACTCCTTGTTGCTTAATCTTAAAACTTGGATACAACCCAATCACTAGCACTGCCTAGAGAAAGCAACCCCCCCACCAATTCTCCCCCTCAGATACACAGGCCCAGTGAATAATCCAACCCATGTGTTTACCACCAACAGTCAAATACAAGAGCATTCTGATTTCAAGAATTTTATTTTCTTTTCCCAGGTAGGAAAGCTGTTACCAAGTTAGGAATTAAAATCTTGAGTCGTCAAAGAAACAGGCACAGTACTCTGGAGAGCCAGGTCAAGTACACAAAAGCCTTGTGGGGTGCCGGGGGTATAGCTCAGTGGCATGGCACCTTCCTGGCAGGTAAGGGTGAGGTCCTGAGTTCAATTCTTGGTACCAAAAGTTAAATAAAAAGCTTGTGGGCCTGCCTCAGGAACACCGGACTGATTTTTCGGAAGACCTTGTACTCCCAAACTCCGTAGCTGAGAAACTTCTAAAGAGAAAACAAAAGGTAGATTATCAGTGGTCTAACTAAAGCACCACTGGTTGGAAGACATGGGAACAGGAGTATCTAGTGAAAATGTGGCCTATTCCACAATTCTTTGGTCCATCCACTAGGTCAATGGTGGCCAAAACTATGGCACTTTTTTTGTTAAGATAGAAGATGTTAACAGGAGCTTAAAAACCAAAAAAACTAAAGCCTCAGCATAGGTTTAACTGCAGTGCTGGCACTCTGCCATAAACCTAGTGGGTTTGGGTGGCAGTTTAAGCGCTTGTCTCTGTAAAGTTCGCCACCACTGTACTAGGCTGACGTGCCGGCAAGCTGGGACACTTCCATGGGATGGCCTGTCTTCCAGCAAAACTGTTCCAACCTCAATCTAGAAATAAGCCCTTCCAGGTTAAGGAGAACGTAACTAAAAATAAACCCAGATTGAGGAATGCTTATTTTTAAAAGTATAATTGCAATGCATACCAAAGGTATCTTCTCAGTTATAGTTATGTGGGAGAACCTCTAAAAAATAGTAACCCCCCCCCCCCCCGTTTTCAATCCAACTTCGACCTGGGTTCTTTATGGACAAATCACTTCTATGGGTTTGAGAGCTGAAACCTTACCTGTTATAGGACTAAACAAACCAATGCTCAGGTTGACAACAAATTGCAGCCTCAAGGGCTCGGGACCTGTAGGAAGATAACAGACGGGGTCAAAATGAACAACCTGAATGCTGGGGGAGAAAAAAGTGATCGCTGGGGCTGATGCATCAGACCAAACTGGCTAATGGTTATTTAGATCAACAGGGTCGATCTGATGGGGAAAAAAGTTATGTCATCAGCTGCATCAGCATCAAAGAATATTAAGGATGAGAAAACGCAGCTAAGTCTCCCCACAGGTCCTATGTCTCAGGGAGACATGTGAACACAACTTACCAATCCTTTCCCATGCTCAGAAACCATCCTGCTCCATTCAAAGGCTGGTTTATGCCATCAGCAAACCTGAAGTGAAAACACAGGAAGATGAGCACTGACCAGCTAGTTACGTGGCCACATAAGTGGACAGCAGCTGCTCAAGCTGGCTTATCAGACAGAAACTGGCTTAAACAAATGAGATCAACATGGTCGATCTGTTGGGGAAAAAAGCTGAAGTCATCATATATGCCAGCAGGAAACTCCTGTGAGCACCATTAAAAGGAGTAAGATTTGCCTGGTACAGTGTGCAAGCACAATGAACATGTGTCTAGTGTCCCACTGCTAGCAATATCTAACACCCCTGCCTTTCAAAGTCTCTATCTTACTATGTAGTGGTCAGAGAGGCATGCTGTCAGGAAATAGTTGGCAGATTGTAAGTTCAAGGCAGACCGGACAACCTTGTTTTAGCAAGTCTTAAATACAAGCGAACAATGAAAAACATCAACTTTAGAGGACATTTTAGCTTCCCACTAGATTTGCTAGGGAGAAGGGCTCATAGTATGCTACCTACTCTTCTGCAGGAAGCCATGTGTTCGTATTATGGGTCTAAACCTTGGGTCAGCCTCAGCTCTGTACATGGACGTATTAAAAAAGACTATTAAACGGCTAATATTTTGTCCATTGGGGCTAGCATGTGTTTTCTCCCCCCATATTCTTGTGTTTCAATAGCTAGCACCTCAAGTAGGTGAAATCCTTTGTCCCTATATAGGGCTCAGACCCAAGACTGGAACGAGGTCACCAGCTCACAAAAATTCAACAGCCACTGGACACTAGAAAGTTAAGAGACATCTTTTGGAACCATGCTCCTGGTATACAGAAATTAATCAAACTGCAGCACACCCCTGCTCCCAACTAACGTTGATTTCCCTCAGTTGAAGTCCCCACCTATAGTTGTGTAAAATTCCAGTGTTTGAGATCCTGCTGCCGGGTTATGTTAGGCTAGGTGATTTGAACACCACATTTGGCTTGAGAAAAATGCTAGCCCCTTGTCCATCCACCGTGAAATGTATATGCCTTACAAAGAATAGGATTTTTTTTTTAAAAGGCTTTTAAAAAGCAGCATTAAGCCGGGCATGGTGGTGCATGACTGTAATCTCAGCACTGGGGAGGCTGAGGCAGGAGGATCATTGTGAGTTCGAGACCGGCCTGAGCTGCATAGTAAGACCCTGTCTTAAAAAGACAATAAAAAGCAGTATTAGAATGACACCAAGCCAGGCATGGTGACACACATCTGTAGTCCCAGCACTTGGGAGGTTGAGACAAGACGACTGCTGCAAGTTCGAGGCATGCGTGAACTTGGTAAGTAGACCTTACCTGAACAAGGACAATGAAAAAGAAAACCAGACTGACACCGAACACGTTTCATATTGGGTCACTTCCCCTTCACCAGGAACCCACGTCCTAATAGGTCATCAACAGAACTTGTCTGCAATGGCCTGGGGTAATCTAATCCCTCAGTATAGCTCGTACTTCGCATACAGGAGGCCTTGAGTTCCACACCTTTTCCCAGACACACTAACGTTCAGCATTGGAAAATTAACCAACCAAGAGGCTTTCTTTAAGGCACGTGTGGCCCTACCACAGGCCAGAAGACAAATACTTACCCTGTAGATCAGGAGATCCAAGGTTGGCGATGTCTAAATAGGGTTCTATCGCAGGCCCAGAGGTGACTCTGTTCTCCCACATCCATTCTGTACTCCCTAACCACGATAACCTACAAAGAGAGGCCATCAATCGCCATCTTCCCACGGCCGAAAGACCATGACTGGGTCTTCTCAAGCTGGTGTATCAGGAGTAACTGGCAAGTATTATGAAACATCAGCATTGTCGATAAGATGGGGAAAAAAGTGGGAGTCATCATTTACACCAGCCAAGGGCCCTTCACAATCACGCAGAAGGCGCGGATTTTTCCTGCAGTCTTAGCGCGATTTTGGCGTCACCTATGGAGGTGCCACGGGACACGGGGGGAATACTAGGACCTCCACTTACCGTACACAAAACGTGGTTCACGAGGCAGGAAGCGTGACCCTTGAAACAACAACAAGGACACCACACTCGGAAAGCGCCGCAGACAGAAAGAACGACGAAGAGCCTGAACCTCCCTTATATAGGCACAGGCTACTGAAGAGCGTGCGCACTGGGCCTGAGGCCCTCCCTTTCCGGGCTTTGCCCGCTATGATCCCTGGGAAATGTAGTTTCTGGCCCGCCCAGCACGAGGCGCTCCAATGGTCGTCGGAGCCGAGCCTGGCCCCGCCCTCCTCCCCGTACTCTCTGGGCCGCTCGGTCTCCTCGGCCTCGCCGCCATGTCGCGCTTCACACGCACCAAGCTGCTCACCGCGTGCCCCCGCCTCTGGGGGTGGCTGAGGCCTGCGACGGCCTTGGGCGCTGCTCACCCGCCCCCCGCAGTCCCCTCCCTTCAGCCGAGCCCGCCCGAGCCCGCCGGCCCCGCCGCGCGGGGGAGCTGAAGCGACGCTAACTCTTTCGCTCTCCCCGAGGGCGGGGACGCCGGCCGTGCCAGGGCCCGGCCCCTCGCGCCCCAAGTCCCCGCTGCCTCCGCCTCCTCCACTTCCTCCTCCTCCGGGCCGCCCGCCCGGCTCCTCCCTCCGCCCAGGGTCAGCGGGGAAGGAAAACCGAAAGTGCGCGGCGGCGGGCGGGGCCGCAG